AGTGCAGGGGACACGGGTTCAAGCCCTGGTCCAGGAAGTTCCCACATGCCACGGAGCAACGAAGCTCATGTGCCACAACTACTGAGCCTGCACTCTAGAGCCCACGGAGCCACAACTGCTGAGCCCTCATGCCACAACTACTGAAGCCCACGCACCTAGAGCCCAGGCTCCGCTACAAGAGAAGCCACCACAATGAGAAGCCTGTGCATCACAATGAAGAGTAGCCCCTGCTCCCCGAAACTAGAGAAAGCCCGTGCACAACAATGAAGACCCAACGCAGCCAAAAATAAATAAATAATAAATTTATTTAAAAAAAAAAGTAGAATAGTATAAGAAGCCCACATGTACCCAGGTTCAGTAATTATCAACTCATGGCCAATATTCTTCATTCACCTCCACCCTTACACAACATCCCATCTCCAGGTTAGTTTGAAGCAGTTGCTGGAAATCAGGGGGAAATTAGTGTGATTTCAGAAGAAAATGGTAGTAGTAAATAGAGTGCTATCAGGCCTTTAAAAAGAAAATCTAGAAACTGGAACTATAGTATCTTCAGAATGTTACTTTTGGGTTTTTAGGCTTCCAAGAGAATGGTTTTCTCAGACCAGACCTTTGTTCTGAGATCAGACTACTGAAGTATGTAGGAGACAAGTATACATTTTTTACTTTGATAATTAGAGAATGACAGGCTTGTGAATTCTGAAAAGTTCTCTGTATTTCCTGTAATGTTGATTTTAAGAGGAATAGTTCATGGCTGAGAGGTTGGTTTGTTCTATAATAAGCTACTTTTATCAAGAATAATTCACAGAGCATTTGGAAGGAATTTTGGTTCTCTTCCCTGTAATCAAAATAGAATTACCTAGAAACGTTTGATTGTGCTAGTAAATGGAAGGAGTACCTAGTGGCAGGAAGAAGCCACTAGGTACTCCTGTAATTATAGAACTTCTGTAATTTGGTTTATACCTCTGAAGTGTCCTGTTCTGTGAAGGAGGTATCTATGATGGCTGACAGCCTGATTCCTAGAACCATGACTGGGATCATGAAGAGAGGACTTGTACATTTCTCTTCTGTAAATCAGTGTGATTCTTGCTTCAAGTCTTCTTTGTCTTCCCAATTGTAATATCTGCCTTTTGAAATTATTTTCTCTCTACCAGAGCTCTAAACATTATTGGAAGTTTAGTATCAATGTAGACCACCCTTTAAGTCTAAAGACCTTCATACTTACTCCACTTTAGCCAGCTACCCCCATAGCTGTATCTTGGACTTTGTGATCATCCAGAACATTGCTACTTCTGAAATCTTAGGCTTCACTCTCCCATGAGCAGGCCACAACTTCTTAAGCTTCCAGCTCTTTTCTTTACTTCCACTCCAACCATCCTCTAATTGTATTAGATTCTGGTACTTTGACTCCTAGTTGTGAGGTGTGTGGCAAGTAATTTCATGTTTGTTTATTCAATAAATATTTATTGAACACCTTTCTGCCCTAGGGATATAATGGTAAACAAAACTGATCTGGACCCTACCTTTATGAAACTTAAAACTTATTGAATGGTGACAGACATTAAAAAAGCATTAAACAAATATATAATTACAAATTGTGATAAGTGCTATAAAGGAATGAACAGGGTGCTATAGGAGAAAATAATAAGAGGAAACCACTTTAGATTGGATGATGAAAGAGGGACTTTCTGACATGACCTTAAAATGGAGACCTAAAGGACTAGAAGTCCCTTGCCATGCAAAAAGTTAGGGGAAGCGTGTTTCAGTCGTAGGAGCAGAATGTATGAAAGCTTGAGGTAGGAATGAGCTTGATGAGTTAGAAGAACTGAAAGGAGGTCCTTGTAGCTGGAATTCACTGAGGGAGGGTAGCCTGAAATGAGGTTGGCAAGTTTAACAGACCGGCTGAATTAGGGCCTTGTAAGGCATGTTTAAGAGTTTGATTTTATTCTAAGTGTTTTTGGAAATAGTTGAAAGGTTTTAAGATGGGAAATGATATATGGTCCATTTTATGTTTTAAAAAGATCATTCTGACTTCTTCATGCAGAACAGATGGGAAAAGGCTAGAAGAGAAGCAGGACAACACTTAAGAGGGAAGTTATTCCTTGTCTAGAGCCAGTGTTGGCTTGGGTTAAGATAGTAAGGCAGTGGGGCAAGGAGTAGGTTTGAGAAATGTGTTCATGGTAGGAGTGCCATGATTTGATGGTTGGATGTGGAAGATAACAGAGAGGCAGGTGTTAGGAATGACTCCCAGTTTTCTGGTATGAACAAACTGGTAATGCCGCCTCTTGAGTGTGTGTGTGTAAGAGAGAGAAAGAGCATGAGAGAAAATACGTATGAGGATAAATGAATCTGGAGTTCAGAAGAGTGGCCTGGGTTAGAGAGAGACATTTGGGAGTTGTTCCACATATGGGATATTTATTTATTTATTTTTATTTTTAATTTTTTTCAGACAGGGGATTTTCAAGCAATGGGAATGAGTGAGAGAGGAAGAGAAAAGAAAGAGGAGGGCCTGGCACTGGGATGGTGACAAATCACATTTTGTAATTGATTTTTTTTCTTTTTAACTTTAGAATAGATTTAAGGTTAGCCTTCTAAAGTCAATCTCACTCCCTTTCAGATAAACTTTCTTAGTGGGAGAGAAAGGAATGTAGTTAACTGCTGCCTGGGAGGGTGGGGGATGAAGGAGTAGAGGGAGGGGCTCAGGGATTCATATCATCTCCAGATTATTTCATTTCTGGAGTAGTTCACAGTATGCCCATTATGAATGTTTCTCATCTTTCATGTGTATACAGGAGAGAAAAGGTTGAGAGATTTCTAATCCACAGGGTAAAGTTCATGGTAATCTGAAGTTTTCCACAGTCTGGTTCCAGCCTGCCTATTCATACTCATCATACCATTCCCCTCCAACCTAAATGCATGCTGTATTCTGTTGTTACAGTTTTTAACCCATAATTTCCTTTTTTTACTGAGCAAACAGAGTACTGTTTTAAGTCTCTGTTTCAGATAAAGCCTTCCCTGATTCCCTCAGGCGGGCTTCGGTATTTGTTTATATTTCCAATGTGCACTGATTAAAGAAAGTCTTTTATTAAATTTTACTGTTTCTTGCATTGACTGTCTCCTCACCAAACTAATCGCCTTGACAGAAGGGATTGGTCTTTTTTCTTTATATCTCTTTTAAGAAAGCATTTGAATATTTGAGTTACCATTCTGACTGTCTTTGTTTGAGTAGGCAAATACAGCTTACATTTCCTTCTGATAAGACAAACTTTCAGGTTTAGAAAATATAGAGAGCAAGAAAATAGTTGAAAATGTCTTTCCTAGATCTATTTTAATAGGTAGTTAAAATATACTTTTTTAAAACTATGGTAAGGCAGTCTCTAAATTATATTCTTTCTTATCAGCCCCAAAGCTTGATATTTAAAAGAAATATTTACTTATTTAAAAGAAAGATTCATGGTAGTTAAGGAAATAGAAGCTGATCTAATGGGATTGTTCTGGTTATTTAAATTATCATTTCTATAGAATACCTGAGAATATTAAGTTTTATTTGGAACCACTGATAATCAAAAAGCAGATCAGAAATATTGTAAAACTTCACTGTAAATTCCTAGTCTACAAATTGATTTATTCTGTGATTCAGTTTATGTCTCCTGTATGTACATAGTAAAAAAAAAAATAGCAATTTCTGTACCCATGAATATTATAATCTTCTACTGCTCTGATATATGTAGTGGAACTTTTTCAGTAGATTTGAATAGAAAATTAGATAATGAATTCATTCCAGTTTAAAAAAAATAAAAAACTTTGACATTCTTCTTTTAGTTCTCAGTGGGAACTGCTTGTGAAGCCATTCTGTAGACATCTCATGGAATTCTTTATTTGCCAGAGTATAACAGAAAAAACTGTCCTGGGAGTCAGCAAGTACATACAACATTTCACAGCATCAGCTTGTGTACTGCATATTATTCTGAAACTATATACTTAGCTTTCTGATGAACGACTTTTATTTGTCTTCCTTTCTTTTATAGGAATATATTTGTCCCAGATGTGAATCAGGCTTTATTGAAGAAATGACAGATGATTCCAGGTATTGTACAAGCTCATGAATAAATCAGGCATTCTGTTATCAAAATTATTTTTCTCAGCATCAACTGAATGAATAGAAGGGAATTTGTTTTATAACATACTCTATTGAGAGAGAGAGAAGAAAAGTGGCAGAGCGAAGGGGAAGAAAAATGGGAAAATTTGGAAAATGATGTGATAGTGGGTGTGATGAGATCTACTGTGGCATTCCTTGGAAACCTCTGTATCCATATAATAGTAAATCTGGTAAGTTTTCATATATTTTCTAAGAGTTTGGGGTTCTCTTGGATTATTGGTTGGTTTTTAGTGACCACTCTGTGGCCTAAAGGTAAATTTCTGTTATACCTCTTTGGTGGGCTGGTGAGTGATTTCTGACAAAGTTATCTAGTAAGATAAACAGGCTGTTCTAGCCAGGGAAACTGAGTTGTTGTTCTTGCGGAAGCCTTGGGTCCCTTGTCCTTATTAGGATTATTGTGGTCAAACTTATGCCATCTTGCCACTGTAATATCAGTGTGTTGGTAATGCTTGAATTTGCCTCTTCTTGCTTTTACTAATGGTATAAAACCTATAAAAAGGGGACATTATTTCTGAAAGTGACAGTGTTAAGTATTCCTTCTTGGTTAATATGATTAAAACTATGAAAGCTTAACAAAAAGTAGAATAGTGTTGATAGGAGGGCCTTTTTGGGGTAAATGTAATAACACATTTATTCTTTTGTGGCTATCTGGTTAAACATTGGTTGGACAATTGAAGAAATACTGACTGGGTAAAAAGAATCTGTAATCTGAAGCTTCTTTTAATCTTGGGATGACTTTGGGGATTTTAATGGCAGTAAATAATTCCTTTACTGTTGCTGTTGGCAGAATATAAAATTGAAGGTCCCTTCCACAACCAGGAAAAACTACACATTTTACAGTATGTACAATTAGTTTAACTTTATTAATGATCAGTGATTATATACGTATAAATGAACTGGAGCTTCTGAGGCAACATATGGCATGGGATCTAGTTTGGTACAAACACTTAAGTGTTGATATAATAATCTTGGTTTTAAATAACACAATACCAATTCTAAATCTATAAAGATTAGCTTGATAGCAAAATTAGTAATTTTGTGTGGATGGCATGCTAACTTGGGATAGCTTTTTATTTTGCTATTACAATTGCATCTAATACTTATTTCAAGCAGGTATGCTCTGCATGCATTGAATGAAGAGCATATTGGTTGTTGGGGGGCGATGTTTTCAAAGTTTTTAAATACTAATCCTGGTTTCTTTTGCCCTGTATACAAAGTATGGTTATAAACGAGGTTTGTGAGTAACTGCAGGATGAATCTTTTCTAGCGGGGAACTATGAATTCTATGGATCCTGCTCTCATTTGACTTAATTCTTTTCTTTGTGCCTTTGTAAGTCAAAGCTTGTCCTGTACAGGTGCTATTGGTACCAGATACTCAAATGCAAAGATTATGTCTTTTGAAATATCAATGTTTTAAATAGTTGAAGAAATCTTTGTCTTAGAATCAGTCTTAGAGGTAGCATGGTATTCCCTTCTATAAAGTTCATAAACATTTGCTTATTTGAATACTTAGCAATTACAGTAGTAAGTAGTGGATGGTAAAAATTAATGAGAGCAAGTCCTTATGTAAATATTGGATAATGGGTTCCATTTGCTATTAGACATTTCAGCTAGAGAGGCATCTTGTAAGTTTTCTAAAGCTTTGTAACATTTCTCCGAACGATGTGGTTGTTATTATCCCTTCTCTATGATTAGCCTTATCATTCTTAAAATGCAAAGGAATTTTAAGGAAAGGGAATGCTGAGGGAGTTTCAGGGGGAGAAGAACCTCAAAAGATAGAGTTGATAGCTTTAATTACCAAAGATGTTTGAATTCTTGAAACTATATGGTAAAGTCAGGAAAGAGCCCTGGAAGCGTATCTAGGCTTGAGTAACAAAATGGATACATAGTGGTAGTTCAATTATTTATTTAGCATAGATGTACTGGTACTTTTGGGCTTGTTCTACATTTGAAGTATTTTTTACAAAACATGTTTTAACTTCTGGAGCAAATACCATTGTTAAATGGTTTCTAATTAGAGAATAAGGCCTGAGAATGATGACGTAGAGAATGGCATGAGCCTCGTTTTTTCACTTTTGGTTCCAGACTAACTGGAGTGTGTTTGTTTCTTCAATGAGCTGAGTGCAGTGCCTGGATTGGTATTGTAATTCTGAAAATGAAAGCTATTTATAATAGTTTGTGGACTTTATTTCATTGGGGTGAGTGTGTGCATGCTTGTGTGCTAGTGTGTGTACTTTGGTGTACATGTGTGTGTCTCTTGAAGTAAAAGTGATATCCAGCAGTTCTTGTGATACTTTCCATCCCGTTTCCGCCAAAGTGTGTTAGCCAGTTTCCTCTCTTCTTTGCAGATTTCATGGGGACAGTGGGATCAAATATTTTTCCCCAGTCTTTGGGAATAGGTTTATACATGTGATATTAATTCAACAACTTTTACTTTCCAGTTATCAATATAGGATATGGTAAAGCAGGGTTTTCAAAAGTGGTGAGTGCTCTGTATAATGGCTGATACATAATAAACACATATATTTGTGGTATTAATAAAATACAGTCTTTACCCTCTGAATTTATGTTTATGAAAGGAGGGAAACAAGTAGAAATGGATGAGGCAAATTCTAGATATTTATAATACAAGGTTGAATTTAGAATCAAAGTCAGTGCAGAGGGGTGTGGAGGAGTCTTGTTTGGTTGGTGAGTTTAGAAAAGACTTAATGGAGGATGGGCCCTGAAGGGTGGGTAGGATAATCATAGAATAGGATAAGCTATCAGAAGAAGGAAAAATATTTATTGAGCCCTTTTGTAAGGTGCTAAATATAGTACTAGACCCCTTGCATTACTATATTTAATCATTCCCAATAGTTTCAAATGTTGTGTTCATCTGGTGGTTATATGGTTTTTTAATGTAATATTATTTTGAGAATCTTGTTTTATTTCTCAGCTTCTGAGAATAGATGTTTTTCTTCCTTTGCTCAGATTTGAGTTGCATTGCTGGCTGTGGATCCTTCTTCCTTCTCTGTGATAGTCTCTCTCCCCAATTTTTTTTTAAAATTTATTTATCATATTTATTGATTTTTGGCTGGTTGGGTCTTCGTTGCTGTGTGTGGGCTTTCTCTAGTTGCAGCGAACGGTGGCTACTCTTCGTTGTGGTGTGCGGGCTTCTCATTGCAGTGTCTTCTCTTGTTGCAGAGCATAGGCTCTAGGCGTGCAGGCTTCAGTAGTTGTGGCTCGTGGGCTCTAGAGTGCAGGCTCAGTAGTTGTGGCGCATGGGCTTAGTTGCTCTGCGGCATGTGGGATCTTCCTGGACCAGGGCTTGAACCTGTGTCCCCTGCATTGGCAGGCAGATTTTTAACCACTGCACCACCAGGGAAGCCCTCTCTCCAATTTTTCATTTGGCTTACCCTTGATTTTGTAGTTTGTTATATTTTTCATAGATTAATCCACATGCCAGTTCTTCATAATTTCCTTTGAGGGTGTCATGTTGGGATGAGTTATTTTTCCTTATTGGGATTTGCTCTCATTGTACCATTCTATATTTAGCTTCCAGGAGGGAAGCTTGTTCCTGGGAATAGAATCACTACTCATTGCTTTTTCTCTTCAGTTTTTTAGGTGGTGGCAGCAGCACATCAACACATTTTGCAGAGGTAAGTTTTCCGTTGGCTGTATGGATTCTTTAGATGGTGGGTGGGTGTTAAAACCATGACAGATTTTCACTTCCCAGTGCAGCAAAACATCAGAATGTATAAGAAAAATATGGGCAAGAGTAGTCTTAGAAAGATTTGTGTTCAGTAGTTGGGGCTTTGGCATGTTACTTTTAGTAAACCTTTGATTAGGAGAGAGCTGTGCTATGTTTGAAACCTGGTGGTGTTTTCAGTTCTGTTTTCTGCTTCTATATTGTGTATATGGTGTGAGAATAAAGAGCTTGTGTTGTTTTTTAAATAACAGTGTTGCAGACTCTTAATGATCTGACAGTCAAGTAAAGAACAGGCCAGGATGAGTTGTAATTGAAGTCACAATGAGGCACAGTCTATGATTTTACACAGAGGTACTGGTTTCTAGAGATTACCTTTAATGAATGTAGTAGTTTGTAATTGGAATTTCAGGGCCAGATTAAGGATAAGATATTTGCTTGCCTTCCAGGTCTCAAGATGGGACCTACAATTAATTTCCAGTTCTTTATATAATGCGGCATCCATATTTTTTGGGAAAAATAATCTTAACTAGGATTTGAAAATAAGACATTAATCTGTATCCTTGAATACCATTTTAAATTAAACGCAGTAATTTTCTTTTTCATTTAATCGATTGACTTAAAATCTGGGTTTTTTTGGACCATTTTAACCATTTTTAAGTGTACAATTTAAGTGTACAATTTTAAGTGGTATTAAGTACTCTTTGTTTATTAGCATTTAGAGACTGTTACCTCACAAGGGACAGATCAGCTCTGCCTACAAAAAACACTGGTTTGCTTTCGCTCCTATTGCCGCACAGCTTGGTTAGCTCTAGAAAGCTAACAGATGCTAAAAGAAAAAAAAAAACCTTAAATCCCATAATCAGAATTTCTTTGTGTTTCAGGATCACATTAGCCTTTTTTGGAGATAGTTCAAGTACCTGAAGAACTAGCAAAACTTTTGCTTCTCTCCTTTATCCTCTGAAAATTATCTTAAGACCTGTAGCTCCCAGGTTTTTAAAAAAATTGTTTTGGACTCGCTGCTCAGCTTGCCAGATCTTAGTTCCTCGACCAGGATTTGAACCTGGGCCCTGGCAGTGAAAGCGCCAAGTCCTAACCACTGGACCGCCAGGGAATTCCAAGCTCCCCAGATTTTTCTGTTGTTAGATTTATAGTCAAGAAACTTAATGAAATGTTTGGGTAACAGTCCTGTTTTATTAAGGTATTTTCTTTTACTTATGGTCTGTGGTACTTCTTAATATCCAGTATTCAACTTTTTGCTTAACTCTGAACTGCCTTGGTACATGGGTTGATTAGTGTGATTCAAGACCGATTATGTCTTTGAACTCTCACTTTCTCATTTTGGTGGATGGAAAAATATTACTTAAAATTGATTCTGCTAGCCAGTCCTGGAAGCCTTTCCGGTTTTAGTAATTTTTTTCCTTGTGTATGCTATTCCTGATTACACAGATTTTCACTTACTGGTTATGCATATGCAGAAGAGACTTCATCTGATTTTCCTTAAGTGTTAGTTCTCTTTTAGGAGATGGAAATACATTGGTCTGTCAGTTTTATAGATATGACTCACCAGGAGGAGATGCATTCAGAAGAAAAATAAATATATATAGTCAGTTTCCTAAGTTTAGTAATGCTAAATCTGACACTAACTGCATAAGTTATCCTTCAGGTGTTGAAGTGATTTTGCTTAGTCATAGCCTGTGACTTCATGTTCTTAAGGGTTTGTAGCAAGGGCATGATTATGCCCAGTTTTCCCTTGTCATCATGCCTGAATATTTCAGTTTTCTCCTTTTTAAACGATATTTTGCACTTAAAAAATAGAAAAAAAAAGTCTTATCTTTTAATACTGTAGAAGTTGTCAGGGATTTAAAATAATCATCTAAGAAGTATATGTTTAGTGCACTTCCAGCACTCTGCTAGAAGTAGGGGCAAGAAGCAAATGTTACGGTTGCCTTGCCAGCATGGAACTTATAATTTAGTTGGGAAACAAGTGCAAACATATGAAACAGATATGAAAACAAGTGTGTACAGAGAGTATAATAAACTTAATTTGGGGATGTAACAAGTACAGTAGAAGGGAGAGATTAGGTGGGCTGCAGTCTTTGGGAAGACTAAAATCTTTAGGAAAGAGGTCAAATGACATAGTGATATGCACGGATCCAGACTGCCTGAGTTTAAACCCTGGGTCTACTGCTTACTGACTAGGTAACCTGGGCAAAATTACTTAGAATTTCTCTGTGCCTCTGTTTTCTCCTTTATAAGTTGGGGAAAATAATAATACCTACCTCAGAGGGTTGTCATGAGGATTAGGTGAGTTGATACATGCCAGATGTGTGGGCCAGTGTGCCTGCCATATAGTGAGCGCTTAATAAATTTTAGCCATTATTAAGACTTCATGGAGAAGGTAAAACTCCTTAACGGAGAAGGTAAAGCAAGGCTTCAGGTACTAGGGCCTTAAAGGGTATGTGGAATTTAGATAAGCAAAGAGGTGAGAAACGCTATCTCAAGGTAGTATTCGTAGGCCATAAGGTCTTATACCCATGTCCCTGGAGGAAAAACTTAGAAAGAAAATTATGTGTGGAGAGGGCTTCCCTCGTTGCACAGTGGTTAAGAATCCGCCTGCCAATGCAGGGGACATGGGTTCGAGCCCTGGTCCAGGAAGATCCCACATGCCTCAGAGCAACTAAGCCCGTGTGCCACAACCACCGAGCCTGCACTCTAGAGCCCGTGAGCCACAACTACTGAGTCCATGTGCCACAACTACTGAAGCCCGCGCGCCTATAGCCCATGCTCTGCAACAAGAGAAGCCACCACAATAAGAAGCCCGCGCACTGCAACGAAGAGTAGCCCCCCTCACCGCAACTAGAAAAAGTCCATGCGCAGCAATGAAGACCCAATGCAGCCAAAAATCAATCAATCAATCAATAAATAAAAAGAAAATTATGTGTGGGAACGAAAGCTATTTTTCTTTTCTATATTTCAGTTGGTAATTTCAGCAAAGGCTTATGCTCAATTTTGCTCTGTTTTTCTTCAGCCGGAGTTGCTTGTACAATGAAGAGGTTTTCTTAATTAGCATTTACTAATAGCTGAATTCTTAAAATACTAGATATATCAGAAGAGCCTTAGTCCAAGCAAAATTTCTAATTTAATTGGTATTGATTTTTTTTTCTGAATTGGGTCTGGGGTGGGGGAGATAGGGAGGGTGGATGAGGATGGAGGAGGGTTGCCAGTTGAATGGGAACTATGAGTGATGTGTGAGGGTCAGTGGAGAGTGAATCTAGAAATGTTGCTAGCAGTTTGTAGAGAGAGAGGACATAGCTATACTGAGGTTCCTGTTGATAACCTGGGGAATGGAGCCCATGGCTATCTGAGGGGTTTCATTGGCTACTTGAAAGCTTCTGACCATGACCTGGTGCCAGTGAGACATCTGATCGGAAGGTCTCAACTTACCTCAGTTTTATCACTTCAGTGCAAGAGCGGCTGTAGCTGCTGCCTCAGATTAGCAGAAAATAAGATAGATGGCTTTCTAGAAAAAGAACTCCCAGGTGTGCAAGAAGGCAGGGTACTCTGAGCAGTCTGATTTATATGTATTTAAATAAAGTTTGTTTTGCTACATATGCAGCATTACAATGGGTAATAAAAAAGGTATTAAAAAGCATCTGGAGTCCCACTATTCTAAGAGCCCGCTTTCTCCATACATTTCCTTTCAGGTTTTGTCTTGAGGCGTAGATACTGAAAAATATTGTAACAACATTAAGAAGATTTTTTAAAAATGAAAAATCTTCCATATTCTCATTACCTTATTTTTGCTTTATTTATTTATTTATTTTTAATACTTTCCATTTCTCACATGCTTCATAACTTTTCAGATATAATCATAGGAGGTACTGTATTGTATTTCTGATTTTTAAAATTTACTTAGGATTATGTCATAAATCTTTTTTCTTATCTCTTCATAGTTATAAGAATTATATATTTTATGACTTCATATTATTTCATGCCTGTGCTATATTAAACTGTTATCCTGTGTTAAAACCTGTCCAGTTATATGGGATGGTTGATAATTGATCATACCTCTTCCCTCCATCTGAGCGTCTAGAACATACTGAGAAATAAAACATAGACGCCAGGCAGATGGAAATAAAGATTTAGTTTTTATTCAGCCAAATTGGAGAGCACAGTTGATCTGTGGCCAAATGGACATCCTAAGTCTGCACAGGATGACCCACTTGAGAATTAGAGGCTGCTGAGCAGGCACAAATACTCAGTACCACTTCTTTTGCATTTGTGCATTTGTCCTTATAAATGAACTCCATCCATTGGAGAAATGCGAATTAGCAAATGTTAGACTTTTGCCACTCACCAATCAGATGCATCACTCCTCTGGTAGGGAAGAGTAATGAGGAATGAATGAAGAGGTCAGAGGTGAACATGAAAGCTCTGATTCCTCTCTCCTCCCCTTTGGGTTTATTAATTTAAGTTTATAGTTAGCAGGGGTCTGGGACTAGTACCTCTGGTAGTTAGGGGAGGAGATCAGTAGGCTTTGAGGGCAGTTTTACTTCCACCTTCATGAAGGCTCTCTCCATTACCAGCTCATGCTCTTTTGTGTGTGCTCCTGGGACCTGTGGAGAAAGCTCTGAAATAATCAAGAACAACATAAAGTTAAATTAAATTGAACTACAATAAATAAAAGTGTTGATATTCTACTGTTTTTGACCTACAAAGATGGTAATTTTAAATGATTAAACGTAGTGAAAAGAAGTTAAAGATTTCAAACCTTTAACTTTCCTTTACCACGTAAATCATCCTTTACCTGTTTGCTGTTCTTCCCAGTCTCAGCCAGAGGGCTTGTACTCAAATGCCAGGTAGAGTTTGGGTTCTTTGAGCAGCTGCAGCCTGGATGGGATCTTAAAGGTTGAATTAACTCAACCAAATCTTTCATCTGTCTCACTTTTTAGTATGAAGGGTTAAAATAGCTCATTTCACAGTGCTGCCTACTTCACATCCAGTCCATTTGGAAATATCAAGTAAAACTCCTGAGCTCTTCAACAGTTGTTCAAAGAATAACTATGTTTATGTCATTCATGACTAAGTTCACATCAGTAATACTGTTGCCAAGCAAAGACCATAACAAACTCAATGGTAGCTGAAGGAAGAAGAGTGAAACAGAAAACAGTCTTGGTGTCAGCCTTGCCAGTTTTTTGTTCAGTGACTGCCAGTTGACCAGAGTCCATAGCCTCTAAATTTAATCTCATTTGGGAAAAGGTGCCTTTCAAGAGATTGTTTATGGCAGAGTGTTTACATTTTGGGGGGTGGGTGGGCATTGGACATCGTATTTTTTTCTTTGTGAATGACATTTGAATACTCTGTTTTTATAAAATTTAGGAATTTGCCATAGTCACCCATAGTCTTTTGTAAAAAAATTTATTTATTTTTGGCTGCGTTGGGTCTTTGTTGCTGTGCGTGGGCTTTCTCTAGTGGCTGTGAGTGGAGGCTACTCTTGGTGGCAGTGCACGGGCTTCTCGTTGTGGTGACTTCTCTTGTTGCGGAGCATGGGCTCTAGGTGTGTGCGGGCTTCAGTAGTTGTGGCATGTGGGCTCAGTAGTTGTGGCACATGGGCTCAGTAGTTGTGGCTCACGGGCTCTAGTGCATAGGCTCAGTAGTTGTGGCGCACGGGCTTAGTTGCTTTGCAGCCTGAGGGATCTTCCTGGACCAGGTCTTGAACCCGGGTCCCCTGCATTGGCAGGTGGATTCTCAACCACCATGCCACCAGGGAAACCGCTCACCCATAGTCTTGAGATTTGTTGTGAGAGTCCTTTCTTTCCCAGCCAGCATATTATAAACCTCTTAATTTCCTTTTATTTTTGAGCCTTATATTCCAGCTATCCCTGAGCTGATTTGAGGATGAGCACTGTTTTTATTTTTCTTTCAATATCCACTGCTCTTGGTCGTCATTCTAGTGCTTCTTATTCTTTTTAAAAAACTATTCCAGTTATCCTTAATTTATTGAACAAATAAATTTATTTTCTAGAGACCCAATGCAGCCAAAAATAAAATGAATACATAAATAAATAAATTTATTTAAAAGAAAAAACTTGTATCCAGGCTATGTAGAGACCTTTTAAAATGGAATAATGAGAAAACAACCCAGTTTCAGAAAATGGCAAAAGATTTGAACAATCTACTTCACCAAAGAAGATATTTAGATGGCCAAAAAAAAAAAAATGCTCAACATCATTAGTCATTAGGGAATTGCAAATTAAAACCACAATGAGGGAATTCTTTGGCGGTCCAGTGGTTAGGACTCTGCTTCCACTGCAGAGGGCATGGGTTCAGTCCCTGGTTGGAGAACTAATATCCCACATGCCGCGTGGCATGGCCAAAAAATAAAAATCACCAAAATGAAATACCACTATACCACTTACAGCATGGTTAAAATTTAAGACTGACCATATTAACTTTTGGTGAGGCTCTGGAGCAACTGAAATTGAATGTAAAAATGGTACAACCACTTTAGAAAACAGGCTAGCTGTTTTTAAAAAAAGATAAAAATACATCAGCCATATGATTCAGCCATTCCACTCCTCTAAGATATGTACATAATTGTTCATAGTAACTATTTGTAATAATAAAAAATTAGAAACAACCCAAATGCCTGTCAACAGGTGGATGGATAAACAGATAAATAAAATTTAAATTATTTCAGAGGTAACTTGTTTTTTTTTCCATTTATTCTTTGTTTAGTGATTCCTTGGCCAAACCGAACAAACACTCCCCCCACCAAGACCCTTTTAGTAAAAAGTGTGTACAATAGAATGGTCTTAACACTGCTTTGTCACAGCTTTGCCACAGCTTTCTGATGAACCTTCTATAAGTTAAGTATTTTATAGACACCGGTCTTCACTTTGTGGTGATGCCTTTTTTTACAAGTGTATAAATACATCCATTTTGTTTAATCTTTATTCTATAGTGGAAATGTGGATGTCATTGTTACAAAACACAAGGTTGTAATATTGATCCAGATGGTTGACTATGCTTAGGACAGAAGTTCATGATCACCTTTGGCTCAAGTTTTTATTTTTAGTATGGGAAACTGGTCAGAGGCATGTGGATCTGAGCTCAGTGTTAAGGTCCAGACATTGGCTTGTTTCTTTTTTTGTTTTTAAATTATTTAATTTATTTTTGGCAGCGTTGGGTCTTCATTGCTGCGTTGCGGGCTTTATCTAGTTGCGGTGAGCGGCGGCTGCTCTTCGTTGCAGCGCGCGGGCTTCTCATTGCGGTGGCTTCCCTTGTTGCACAGCACAGGCTCTAGGCACACAGGCTTCAGTAGTTGCAGCATGCAGGCTCAGTAGTTGTGGCTCGCGGGCTCTAGAGTGCAGGCTCAGTAGTTGTGGCTCTTGGGTTTAGTTGCTCCGTGGCATGTGGGATCTTCCCGGAGCAGGGCTCGAACCCATGTCCCCTGCGTTTGCAGGTGGATTCTTAACCACTGCGCCACCAGGGAAGTCCTGGCTTGTTTCTATATGAAGGAAATAGTTTTTTGGTATATAAATTTTTCCCCCTGTGCATATACTTGAAAGACTTCTCTTTTCTCCTCCGTGAAATTGGAGAAGCATACATTTCTTTAATTTGGAACTGCTGAATTTTGAAGTGTTAAAAGTTAATCCTCTCTTTTTTCAGTATTTCTTCTTCCTGTTTCCTCTTTCTCCTTTTCTTAAAACCAGTAACATGTGGTTTATTTCTGGTTTTTACTAGTTCTGGGACCATTTGGACCCCACGATGTTTTTCCAAGATTTTAGACCCTTTCTAAGTAGCAGTCTCCTGGACCAAGATAATAGAGCCAATGAGAGGGGTCACCAAACTCACACTGACTTCTGGGGACCAAGTCGGCCGCCACGGCTGTCAGTGACTCAAAGATACAGATCTCGAGGAAGTACTCGTCCTGATAGATCCCCTGCTTTTGAAAGGTGAGTGCAAAGTTGTTATTTAAGTTCTTTTAAAGGGTAGTTTCAATGAAGGACATATTGACATAATCTAATCTGTATAAGGTTTTCATACTTATTACCTTTGTGGACAAGATGGGGATATATATACAGAATGAAAATGAAGCTAAATTGAGTGTCTATACTCAACTAGTATAGTTTACTGATGATGATAAACTGAAGGGTGATAAAACTAATGATATAGGTCTCTGGTTAATATTTTTATTAATATTTCAATTAATATATCAGTGATATGTTTGTCAGAACTTCAGAAGATACTGAAAGGGATAGCAGATATATTGGATGACATTAGGATTCAAAAAGACCTCAGTAGATTAGAGCAATGGACTTAATATGAAATTTAATAATGATATAGAGTCTTCTGCAAAACATTCATGCAACAAATATTTATTGATTGTCTTTTATGCTGGGACACTTGTACTGGATACTGGGGATATAATGGTGAGCATCTTGGGTTTAGTTGCTCCGTGGCATGTGGGATCTTCCCGGAGCAGGGCTCGAACCCATGTCCCCTGCGTTTGCAGGTGGATTCTTAACCACTGCGCCACCAGGGAAGTCCTGGCTTGTTTCTATATGAAGGAAATAGTTTTTTGGTATATAAATTTTTCCCCCTGTGCATATACTTGAAAGACTTCTCTTTTCTCCTCCGTGAAATTGGAGAAGCATACATTTCTTTAATTTGGAACTGCTGAATTTTGAAGTGTTAAAAGTTAATCCTCTCTTTTTTCAGTATTTCTTCTTCCTGTTTCCTCTTTCTCCTTTTCTTAAAACCAGTAACATGTGGTTTATTTCTGGTTTTTACTAGTTCTGGGACCATTTGGACCCCACGATGTTTTTCCAAGATTTTAGACCCTTTCTAAGTAGCAGTCTCCTGGACCAAGATAATAGAGCCAATGAGAGGGGTCACCAAACTCACACTGACTTCTGGGGACCAAGTCGGCCGCCACGGCTGTCAGTGACTCAAAGATACAGATCTCGAGGAAGTACTCGTCCTGATAGATCCCCTGCTTTTGAAAGGTGAGTGCAAAGTTGTTATTTAAGTTCTTTTAAAGGGTAGTTTCAATGAAGGACATATTGACATAATCTAATCTGTATAAGGTTTTCATACTTATTACCTTTGTGGACAAGATGGGGATATATATACAGAATGAAAATGAAGCTAAATTGAGTGTCTATACTCAACTAGTATAGTTTACTGATGATGATAAACTGAAGGGTGATAAAACTAATGATATAGGTCTCTGGTTAATATTTTTATTAATATTTCAATTAATATATCAGTGATATGTTTGTCAGAACTTCAGAAGATACTGAAAGGGATAGCAGATATATTGGATGACATTAGGATTCAAAAAGACCTCAGTAGATTAGAGCAATGGACTTAATATGAAATTTAATAATGATATAGAGTCTTCTGCAAAACATTCATGCAACAAATATTTATTGATTGTCTTTTATGCTGGGACACTTGTACTGGATACTGGGGATATAATGGTGAGCAAAACAGATGGTGGTACTTGATCTCATGGATCCCATTTAGTAGGAATAATAAACACTAATTTTTCTAAAGTGTTTGCTATATGCATAGGATTGTGCTTCATGCTTTTTCTGCTTATCTCATTTAATCCATATAAAATGGTAGGTATTGTTGCTATTCTCATTTTATATAAGAATAAACCAAGACTCAGAGAAGTAAGGTAACTTGGATCAGTGGTGAATCTAGGACTTGAACCCAGGGATATATGCATCTTGTGCTGCACTGAGATAGCAGCTGCTAGCCACATGTGGTTATATCAATTTAAATTAATTAAAAGTTAAAAAGACTCAAAATTCCTCAGTCACATTCGCCACTTTTCAAGGGCTCAGTAACCACAGATATCGAGTAGACACCATATTTCACAGCACAGGTTTTAAACATTTCCATCATCTCCGAAAGTCCTATTGGACACTGCTGTTCTAGAGTCTACACTCCCCTCCCCTCCACACACCTAGATTTTACTATTAATATTTTACTATACTTACATTATCACATATCTATCCATTGATTTGTCCATTAGTTCGTCTTATATTTTGTAAATTTCAAAGTTAGTTGCAGACAGTCTTTCTTAGGACAATTACAGGATATGGGAAGTCTGATTTAATGGGATTGTCTAGGACAAAAGCCATGATATCTTAGACTTTTAATATCTTATGGTGCTCAGAGGTAAATCCATCATTTCCTGTGCCAGTTAAACTGTATCTATATTACTTTCCCTTTACTACCTGGCTTGTACCCTATTGAACTACTCAACTACAGTTCATCTAAACTTTTACATCCTATGCTTTTTCTCCCACCCGCTAAACTGCCAGTCAGTGCTGTGGTCCACTTTTCCATGCTCCTTTACTTGGCGATGGATAAGTACTGCTGGAGGAAAATCATATAAATGTGCCCATTGGTGCCCCTGCAGCTGGTAAAGGGCATTTAATCTCCATTAAACTGTCAGTGCTTTAAATTTGCATTACCCTCTGTAAATATTTTGAACGATCACTACATTTCAGTCTCCGAATTTCCTATCTAGTAGATGATTCTCAGCAGCTTATTTGTATTCTTCATTATAAAAATTAGGACTTTAGGCATGAACTCCCCAAATCCCTGTGCCCAACTTCTTTGACATCAGTATTTATTTTTCCTTCCAGTCTCCTGAGATGAGGTTTCCTTTCTTTTTTTCAAAGCAACTCCATCAGCCCATGTACCTATTTCTTTTGAGATTTTGTTTCATTCATTTTCTTCTCCCTGTTCTCTTTTCCCCCTTTACTGCTCCCCGCCCCGTCCCCTTATACCTCTCCCTCCTCCTTTAGCTCTGTGGTTTTCAATTTTGGCTATACATTAGTGTCACTGAGGATATTGTTTAGAATACAGATACCTGGGCCCTACCCCCATGGATTCTGATTTAATTATTCTGGGTGAGGTCCAAGCATTTGTAATTTTTAAAAGCTCCTTCGGTTATTCTGATTGTAGCCAGCGTTGAGAACCACTGCTTTAGTTACTGCCTAACCTTATTTCCTTCCCCTTTGAATAAGACTTCTTAAGGGGAGCCTATGTTTATTTTGTGTACTTTCTCATCTCTTATTATGCTTCTGCTACTATAGTCTGGCCCTTTTTTCACTAAAATCCCTGGTGACCTTCTATTCTGGTTACATACCCAGTGGATACTTTAAAATTTGTATTGTATGCGTCCAATTCACTGAATTCAACATTTTTGGTCTTTTTCTTCCCTCTAGAAATTCTCTACTTCTGTGACTTCCATGATAGTATATTTTCTTGACTTACCTATTTTCTGACTTCTCCTTCTTGTGGATAGTATTTGTTTTCCTAAGGTGTTTCCTTCATTTTGGTTTTCTTCTTACCCTTCAACAAGGTTTCTTAACTTTGACATTTTTGCTGGATAATTTTGTTCTGTAGGGCTCTCCTGTATGTTGTAGGATGTTTAGCAGCATCCCTGGCCTCTACCTACTACATGCAGTAACCAACCCCCCCCTCCTCCCCCAAAGTTATGACAACCAAAAATGTCTCCAGATATTGCCAGATGTTCCCCTGGGGGAGCAAAATTGTCTCTGGTTGAGAATACTGCTCTGTAAGCGTTTTCTGGCCATTATTAGGTTCTCTCATAGTTCTAATAATTACCTATATACAAACACTCCCAAATCTATATTTCTTTTTGACCTTTCTCCCTAATTTAAGATTTGAATGTATAACCTCTTGTTAGACATTTCTATTTGGATGTTCCATAGGTACTACAAACTCACAAAAATGGAAACCAAACTCTTTTCTTCCAGACCTGATCCTTTTTCTTTATTTCTGATTTTGATTGGAAGTACCACTCTCTACCTAGGCATTAATCTAGAATCTTTACTTTGTCTCATCCAGCTCATATACACATCCAATCAAACATTAAGTCTTTCTGATTTTTTTTCCTATTTCTCAGCTCCCATTTTGTCCAGTCATTTCCCCCCTAGTTCATATCTACATCTTTTCTTGTTTGCCTGCACTATTGCATTAGCCTTCTTCAAAGCTTTATCATTCTTAAATTTATTCCCATATTACCCTTGCAGGATTATCTGCCTCAATTTTCAGATCTGTATCACTTCCTGCCTTAAAATCCGTTGTCATGGGGTCTATAACTTCATATACAAGGCCCTCTATATAGAGGTTTTGAACTCTCCCGACCGCTGTAGCCTTGTTTCTGGTCACTTCTTGCTTTTTTTTATTCTACCAATATGAAACATACTGTTTCATGCTTCTATATGTTTTCTTAATTTGTTTTCTCTGGCAGAAGTACCTCTACTGCTTTTTTAACCCCATTAATCAGTCCTTCACTGAATTTAGGAAGCCTCCCATGACCCCCAGGGCTGTATCACACGCTCTTCTTTTGTGCTTCCCCAAAGCACCTTATGCATTCTTCTATTCATACTTCTAACTACACAAATTGAAGTTATTTTAATACTAGGTAGCATTCATGAAGAATGCATACTGTGCCAAGCTTGACGATCATTAGCCCATTTAATGTTCCCAGTAACCCTATGAGGTAGGTATTATTGAGGAAAATTGAGATTCTGCCTTAGTAGAGCCTCTGTTAGTTATCTATTATTGCATAACAAATTACTGTAAAACTTGGTGACTTAAAACAGTAATAATCATGTATTCTATCTCACAGTTTCTTTGGGTCAGTAATTTGGATAGGGTATGGGGAAATAGTTTGTCTTTGCTGTATGATGTCTGGGACCACAGCTAGAAGACTTAAAGCTTAAGACTTGACTGGAATTTGCAGGCTTATTTGCTTACATGTCTGGTGGTTAATGCTTGCTCGTGGCTGGGGGTCTAGTTCATGCTGCCAGCTGGAAAACCTACACATGACCTTCCTTAGTTTTAAGAGTCAAGACAAGTTTTTTGTGTTTTGGGGTTTTTGCAAGATGTCCATTAATTT